CATTCTTCCATCCACCCATCCATCTATCCATCCACCCACCTATCCACCTACCCCCATCCATCCATCCATTCTTCCATCCCTCCATCCATCCATCTGTCCATCCCTCCCTCCCTCCCTCTCTCCTTGACCTTGAAGCTGCTTTTGACCCTGCGTACTGCCCCCTCTAAAGTACTCTCTTCTTGAGGGTCGAGACCCTGCCCGTTCCTGGTGGTTCTACTTTAGTGGCTGCCCCTCCATCTTCTTGGCGAGCTCATTATCCATCTGCTGTCCCCCTAGTTGCGGCTGTTCCCACAAGACTCTGGCCCAGCTCCTCCTCTCAGCTCTCTCTGTACTCCACCTCTTTGTGAACTCATTGGCTCCCATGGCTTCAGTCACCACCTACACTGATGACTCTCAGACCACTGGCTCCTGCCTCAGTCCCTCCCCTAGCTGCCTCTCCCATATCTGGCCTCCATCCCTTCATCCCCACACCCATCAGGCAGTCCTACTATTTCATTCATGGAGATGAAGGCTGCATCAGATGGAGCTTTCTTGTGCCCTTGGGCCTGGGGGGCTGTCCTTCCAACCTCCTGCACCCGCTGATCCCCCCTCCACAATGTGAACCGCAGCAGGCAAGGACAGTTTTTCTTTTCTGTTTCCCCAGCAATTAGGCCAGTACTTGGCCCCCATAAGCACTTCACCAACACTCTTTTATTCACTCCTTCCCTCCCTCACTCAATCATTCATTTCTTTTGTCCAGTGCCCAAGTTCAGGCCCTTGTGACCCCTCACCCAGACCCCTCACTACAGCTTCTGGATGGGCCCTCCCACCCCCCGTCTCCAAACCCTTTTCTCTCCGATCCATCCTCCACAAAACCCCCACTGTGACAATGCCTCCCTGCTACCTCTGTGCCTAGGAGAAAATACAAGCCCCTGTGCTGGACACCTAATGCCCTTCGTGACGGGTCCTGACCTACCTCTCCAGGCTTCTCACACACCACACCCTGGCCCAGCCACATCAGCCTTCTGGCGGCTCCTCCAACGTGAGGCTCCATTTCCCACCGTCATGCTTTTAACTCAGCTATCCCCCCTGCCTGGAGTGCTCTCATCCCTCAGTTCCATATCTCAGAATCCCCAGTTTCCTTCAAAGCCACTAGGGCCACTTTCTCCATGAAGTCTCCCCCGATTTTCTCCTCACTCCACCAGCTGCCAGCGGTCCTCACCAAGTTACCTTGTATTGTCTCTGAATGAATTTTGTATTAACTTGTATGTGGATGGCCTGACTCCCCTGGCTGACTCAGAGCTCCCTGAGGACAGGGGCTGTCCCCTTCTGTGTCCAGAGCAGGGTGACTGGCACACAGTAGGTGCTTAGCAAGTGTACGCTGACTGACACGCAGGGAGCCTTACTCTATGGGCCATCTCCGTACACCAGGAAGGACCGAACTGACCGGGGGTGTCCAGGGGTAAGTAGCTCCTTGAAGGAAGAAGAAAGCCTGGCTGTGGGAAGGACCCCCTCGAACCCTTGTGGCTGCTGGAAGGGCAGGCAGAACCTGCCCCAGGTTTCTGGATCTGCCCCGTATCTGCCTAACGTTAGCTCCTGGCAGGATCTGATTTTGTGGCATCTCCAAGGGGCTCCAGGTGCCTAGGAGATGCAGGCAGAACGTCCCTCCGTGTGCGGTGAAGCCCGGGGCATGCCAGAAACATGAAGATGAAGCACCTACTATGTGCGAAGCCCTGGGCGAAGTGCCAGGGATACAAGGAGAGGCAGAAGCAGTCCCTGGCCTCACGGAGCTCCCGGTCTAACGGGGGGACACCACGTCCACGCAAGATACACAAAAGGTAGAGGGGAGTGCATGGGGGAGGAGACGGTGAAGGCAGCTGCCAGGGGAGGGGGCGCAGAGCTGGAAGAGATCTGGCCAGTCCTATTAGAGGCTACATCCTCTTCATGCGACCCCACCTCACCCCAGCCCCCTTTAACAGAAGAGACCAAGGCCTCCGGGGAAGCTCTCAGGCAGGACCTGCCCTGTGCAAGCAGCCCTCGCTGGGAGAAGGCGGCAGGTGGTTTCTCCAGGGAGCGGCCAAGACTTGGCGCGGCCCACAAATACGCCTGGCCTTTTACCGCTCGGCAGGCCCAGCCCCCCTCATTGTCAACACACGCCATGAGAACTCAATTTTCTGCTCCACTGCCACGAGCAAGGACAGCTTAATTTGGAGCATGTGCGAGCCGTGCTCATGCTGGCGGATGCCAGGTGCTCGTCACGCGGCTCTCGCCTGCGATCGGAGGCGCGCAGGGCCGAGGGGCCACGAGGAGCTGGGGCTCAGGGGGAGCCCGCCTTCTAGACACAAGCTCAGGCTCGGGAGCTGGACACTGACCTGCAGGGTGCCCCTTTTCCTCTGGAAGCACGAGCCGGGCCCCCCACCCCCGCCAGCCATGGGACTTGAACACAGCTCTTCTAACTTGGTCCTGTGCCCTGCCCTGCTCCACCCCATCCCCCCACCTTCCCAAAACGCTTAGAGCCACAGGACCTCACTCTGAGGCATCTCTCCTAGGTCAGGAGTGTGCACTCTTGGGAATCCCCGGGGCTGTCTTCAGAGGGATCCCACCCCCTTCCGACGCCTAGCTAAAGGCAGCGTCTCTGCTTGGTGCCTGGGCCGAGACCCATCCCTAAAGCTTCCCCGCCACGGCTGGCCGTCCCTGCTCCACCGTGCTGGTCCCCGTCAGAGGAAAGGTTTGGGGAGGTGGCGCTCAGGGCCCACGCTCAGCGGAGGTCAGCTGCGGTTGCCAAGAACAAGGCAGGTTCTGGGCGGTAGACTCAGGGAGGCCTTTGGACCTTGGCTGACTCCTGACGAGCCTTTGAAATCCACCCTTTCCCCGTTCCAGGATCTCCAGCCTATGGGGAGCTGCTGACTTTGGGCTAGCCCGGGGCTTGGA